CTACTACAACATTTTGTAACTCCCACCACGCCGCACGGAACCCAGGGGCTCTGGCAAGCGGCACCCTGGCATGGCCACGGCTGTGGTGTGGGCGCAGGGGCTGCTCCCCCACTTTTGTCAGCGGGAGGGATGCCGGTGTCACAGCTGGTTCCACCAGCTTTATGGTCTCTTTGCGCTGCTGTAGCAGAGCTGAGAATCTGGCCCGGGCTCCCTTCCCGCCTCGCCGGGGACTGCATCAGTGTGCTGTTTATTGTTTCTGCCAGATCATTCATGCAGATGTTAATGAATGTTAGACCCAGCTTTGCTCCCAGCAGAGTCCCTTCCACACCTCCCCCTGGCCAGCCCTCTGCACTGGAGTTTCTGTTTACAGTTCTGCAGGGAATTTCCCCTCTGCTGCTCCGTCTTTGAGCTGCACAAGTCCCAGCTCCTGCTGCCAGCAGGCTCCCACACCTCCCTGGTTCTTGTAGCTGTCCAATGTCACCTCCGGATGCCTGCGTCCCTCACTGTCACCATTCCTTCTCCACCTCTGGCCTCCCCAAACTAGAGACGCACCAATTCTCCTAGGAGGAAGCAGAGGGTTTGGCCAGTGAAGAAAGTTGCTACAGGTCCTTCCTCTACACATATGGAGAAAGCAGAGAGAAAATCTACCAAATGGAAAAAGCAAAGTAACTTGTCCAGAAGGACTCTGAGACAATATCTAAACTGGTAAGTGGTGTCAGGACCCACCTCCTGGCCCTGAAGCCCGCAGGCATGCAGAAGCCTGCATCCACACCACTGTGTTATTTTCACATCCCAACAAAGTGGGTAACTCAACCTGCCTATAATTAGGAAACACTAGGAATACTTGAGAGGCTGTTAATCAGCCCAGTCAAAAACCCCACCAGGGACCTCTGCAGAAGTCTTAGCAACACAGACAACCGTGTCCCTGGGCCCCTGGTACTGTAGTGGCTGAGCCACACAGAGCCTCACTGTCCTGGCAGCTGTTGGACATTGGGAAGCCAAAGAGCAAGTCTACCTGCTGCAACGAGCATCAGTCTCAGGAGGGGGTTCTGATATCTTCTTAATCAAAGCAACATTGCTTACCCTTCCAGAAGAGCAATGACATTCTTTCTGGGCCTCCCAATATTCGGCCCATAGAGGTTTGCTCTGGAATAAGTGCGGATAAGCTGCAGCAGGCTTCTCAGCTGGATGTAGTCCTTCCCCAGCTGGCTGCCGTTCACTGAGCGGCCGATCAGGGTCCGATAGTTATTGGGCTCTGGGAAAATAAAAATAGACAAGTAAGGCTTGCCAGCTCCGCTCCTTCATCCATGTTTCCGGAGAGAGTCACACAGCTCAAACTGTCACAGCACACCTTGAGCTCTGCAGAGCTGCCTGCCTGCTCTGCAGAGCAGCAGCAGGAGCCTCTGAGGAGTGGATGAGGGCCATTGCTTGCTTCTCCTGTGCCAGTATCTCCTCCTGCTCTTCTTTTATTGTGTGCTGGGTGAAGGACCTGCACCTTAGTGTCGTGCTCTGGTCCCTGGAGGCTCCCCCATTTCTCCTGGCACTGCAGCCACCATACATGTCCTTACAGCTGCTGTTCTGGCCACCCCAGTGCCCAGCAGCCAGGGCAGAAACATTTCACGTGCTTAATACCGACTGATGAAAGCGTCTAGCTAAGGGGCTAAACATCTGCCAGGTCCATTTTAGAGATGGTGCTGCCTCTTAGCAGAGGCCTTTATACCCCTCTGAAGCTAAGCTGGCAAAGCATCCTGGGATCTGCAGATCTCCTCTTCCAAAAGGGAACACCTTTCTGCTACAGGAAGCTCCATTCCCGTGGGTCTCCTGATCCCACACTCACCATTGCCCAGCTCCCAGGAGATGTTGTACTTCTTGCTGGCACTGTACTTCAGCAGGCTGAGGGCATTGGAGCTGTTCCAGGAGTTGTTGGGATTTCGGCGCAAAGCATTCAGTGCAAAGATCAGGTGAAGGCCAGAGCAGTCAGCAAAGTTATAGAGTTTGTCTAGAGACCTGGCTGGGAAGAAACAAAAAACAGTTTGTAATTCAAATGAAAGCTGCTTCAAGGGAGGTTCAAATGATCCTGCTGTCCATCAGATCTTGTCTCCTTGTGTAGGATGAGCCAGGGTCAAATACCACCCCCATGACATCTGTAACCGCACAAATGCACCTGACCTTTGAAACCGGGATAGGATTCCAGGTGTAGGCTCATCTCCTTCCAGCATGAAACTTGGATGCCCTCCACCACTGTGTCAGAGCTAGGGGCCATATTACCAGAGACAAGTGACTTTATAACATCTCTTTTTATCTGCTCTTGGCAAGGAAAGTCCAGCCTTTCTCATGCTTATCCTGCCTTGCATTTCTTTCAGAGCAGATCCTTGCAGAGCCTGGGAAGCAGAGGAGGAAATCACCACCCCAGGGCTGCCACCTCTCCTGCACACCACCACAACCTTCTCTCTGCTCCCACAGCCCTCAGTGCAGTCACCAAGCCCTAGCAATTAAATCACATAGAGCCTCCAAGGTGTGCACAATGCACTCAACTCACCTCTGCTCTGTGCACAGAGAGGGGAGCTCATAATACCTCTTGAGCCAGAGGAGAAAGAAGGGGTCCCTGCCTGGTGACCACCTGGCCAAGCCCTGCTGCAGAGATGGCCCTCCTGGAGTGCTGGGGTTCTTGCAGGATTCATGTCATATCTACTGGCCCCTAAGCTGGCATCTCTTCTGCCATACTGTGGCCCTGGTGAGCCGTGGGACACCAGCCAGCAGCAGCAGGAAAGACCAAAGAAAGAGGTGATCCGCTATTCAGGGACAAGTGACATTAGCACAGGGCACTGCTGGAAAAGCCAAAATGCTTAATGCCTTTTTTTTTTTTTTTTTTTTTTGCTTCAGTCTTCTCTAAAAACTCAAAAGCAACCAAATGCCTGACAAAGCTAATGCCAGAGTTAGCAGGATGCAAACTCACGTGACAGCGAGAGATTTGGTGAGAGCGTAATTAGATAACTATGGTGTTTCAATCATCCCTGCCTGTTGAACTGCATCCCAGGACACTTGGTGAGCCTCCTGAAACAGCCTCGGAGATGCAACCACTTAACTTTAAGGAGCCACCAGGGATGGGGAGGTTCCAGGGGGCTGGGAAGGGCAGACCAGGGGCTCTGCTTTCAGAAGAAGGGAAGGAGGCACTGGGGAATTACAGAGGAGGCAGACTGGCTTCAGGTCCCAGAAAAATACTTGGACAAATAATCAGGCTGCTTGTCAGCACTTACAAAATATAAGGAGATGATCAACAGCCACAGGAATGTGTCAAGAACAAATCACACTGAAGCAATCTACTGACAGGAGAGCAAGGCTTGCAGGCAGCAAAGCAGCCATTTAGGTCTTATACCTTGATGGTTTTGAAGGTTTCTGACATGATTGCACATGGTGTTCTCTCCAGAAAGTGATGTAACCCTGATCTAGACTGAACCACAGTGAGAAATACGCACACTGAGAGCAGCTACCAGTAATCTGCTGATAAAATGAAGGGTCTAGGCAGCCTGCTCTGCATCTCTTTACGTATTTCCAACAAATAAGGGTATACAGGACATCAGACTTGCCACAGCGCTAAGGTGCTAGCATGCACCACCATGGTCAGAGGAACTGAGGAGGATGGAGAGGAGGCAACTGCCTGCTCAGGGAATTGCTCTAAGCCCAGGAGTGACGCTCCAAGACTCCCTGTACCTGCTCTGCCCGACCAAGGTGCAAGTGAGATGACGGCAGCCAGGAGCTGCTCGCTCCAGTCAGGATAAGCTACTCACAGCCAGTATACCTGCCTTTATTCTGTCGCCTTTCCTGGTCACTGAAAGCCTCAGTGAATACGGAGCCAGCTGTGAGGTCTGAGAAGAATAAACTTATTTTGTAAGTAATGTTTTAAGGAGGGTCGAGGAAATAAGCTAACTGAATAGCTAATGTTTAATGGAACGCAGCAAAATCATGGAAAGGAGAAGAAAGGAAAAATGTGGAAAAGAAATTCCTAATCCCTTTCACAACCTTCTTCTAAATGCTACTGGTTGTTTGAGTGAAAAGTAGCTGAATTAGATTAATCTAATGTATTCATCCCACTGGTTCAGGCACATTAGCTGTTTTTCTGGATGTTTAGTGAATTAGAGACAGATACAGTTACTTAATACTCATTTACTTCAGATCTCCAGGCGAAAAGCTGCACTTGAAATGAGACTCCTATAAAGAGGAAAAGATAGACACCTAAATGACAACATGGAGATAACAATCTGGAGTTACCTGCAATTCCCCTGCTAGAAATGAAAACTTTTTTGCTGGCACACACCAGTTGTAGTTCTTAAGTACTACAAGAGGGGATGTGGTTCACATTTAAGAGCCTCTGCAGAGGACTGGGAATTGATTTTCCATGCATCCACTGGAGGAAACCAGCTGCCTGTTTATCCCAGTGCAGAGTCTGCCACTACAAAATTATATTTTCCCCATGACACTTATTTTGTTTCTGTGTGCCTGGACACAGATATGCCACGTGTATTTCATGTTCTGCCATGACTTTCCAAGCTGGAAACCTCCCCAATCAGGGGAGAGAGCTAGGAGAAACACACAGATGTCTAGGGGTTACTCCTGCACATTTCCAGTGGCCTCCTAGCACACAAACTGACCCGCAGATTGCAACAAGGCCACAAAAAGCAGAGAACTACTAATAAACCTCTCTCTGCATCAGATCAGATTGTTAGTGTGGGTGCTCTTGGTATCAAGGGTATGAAGTATCGAGTCCACTTCTCTCCTTCATCTTTGGCACCTGCCTTGGAATAGTGTGAACCTGGAAGCATCAGTCTCTCCAGTGTCTCTAGCAAAGCTTTGATGACCAGTCTGCACAAGATGCCCAACCGTTAAAGGGCACATCTGAGCCCTCTTGAGATGATCACTTTAAACCAGATATCTCCATTGCAGACAGCTGCAGTTAAATGAGAAGAGTACTGTTGTGGATGGCGAAAGCACAAGAAGAAGCATATTTAGAAGACCTTGAGTGATGTCCAGCCCTCTGTAAGTACAAACACTGCCAAAAGAGAATGCTATAAATATTTTACTGCCATGACTAGGGATGGCCACATTACTTCTGAGTAATGAGAACATAAAGAATCTCAGTATTATTAACAGCTGGCTAAAACTCACTTTGAATTCTGGATAATTGCACGTTTTTTTCTTCATCAAACACAGAAAATCTTACAGGATTTTAACCTTTCCCCAGCTAACAGATCATTAGGCAAGGCTTTCACAAAGCATTTCAATAGAAAAAAGCCATTGTCGTACCAGAATGAATCTTAATAGAGCAGAACTGGATTTATAAGACATTCTCCCTGCCCCTTCTCCCCCTCTGCCCGGTGCAGAGATGCATGCTCTCAGCACTCACGTGCCACTGAGCTCAGGCAGAAGGAATAAAGAAAAGAAAAAAAAAAAAAGGAAAAAGAGTACTAAAAAAGTGCAAAGATGCTGAAAGTCAGCTTCTGCCACTTACTAATTCTCCCATAGCTGGAGTGAAGTTAACCAAGGCAGCAAAGTTCTGTGCTCCATTCCCCTGGAGCCTGCTGGCAGGTTTTGGTGGGGATGGGTCCCTGACTCATTGGGCTTAGGACTAACAGCAGATAGTAGACAGAGAGAGAGGCCCCAAAGCTCTGGCACAAAAATGGAATCAGAAAATATTTGGGCTTCCTCAACCTTTTACATCCTCGGTGGCAGGATTTTGAAGGTGTCTGGAGAGTGAATACCACCTGACAGTGCATGACTGGCAGGCTGACAGCGAAGAGCTGCTAGCAATCCTGCCCTCAGCTGAAGCTCTGCAGGGGAATTAAAGACTTTGGCTGTTTGCACAGATCTCTTACTCTGCACACAGAGAGACAAACAATTTAAAAATGCAGGAGAAAGTGTCTGTGAGGCCACAAATGGTGATAGGGTCATGGGACAAGCACATCCTTTAGGATTCCTTCCCATTTTTCTCCTTTTTATATGAGGCTAAGTTTTAAAGTTCTCTGAAAGATGGATGGCACTTAACTCTGTGGCATGCCAATACAAAATCTGAGGCACATTAAAACATCTCTGGTAATTTAAAATAGCTGGAATGATTTTCCAATTGTAGTTACTGAATTAAACATTATACTAGAGACTTTATAAAGAACATAGTATTGACTGCCATTTGGTAAGAGGGACAGTTCAATAATCTCAGGGTTTGAAAGTCTTCCACATTTTTTCTTCTGCTTCAGGAATTTTGCTTTGGCAGGGTTTAGCACGAAGAGTGGAAATTCATGTGTGAGCTGAGACAGAGGCTGAGATCAGCCAGTGGGCTGCGGGGTGGCGGGGCATGGCACGGCGTGTCGGGGGCTTTTGTAACTCTGGGAAGTCAACCAGGAGGACAGGAAAGAAGAGCCCGTTCTCCCTCCATCTTTACCATTCACCATGTCTGTCTCTTGCACGTACTGAGCATGCCAGCACTGAGGAGGACAGGGCAAGAGCTGAACACAGAGCCGGCAGCACATGCTGCGCTTTCCAAATCCACAGGTTACCTGAGAAACCAAGCAAATGCACAACAGATGAACCCTTCTGCTGATGAAGCAAAGAAATGCAGTTGTAGAAATAACCAGTTCAACTAATCACCAGCATTGCTTGATTCTGCATTCCCCATAAATTCTGAGCAATGCCTGGAGCATCCCTGCAAACACTTCCTGGTGCTGCCACCAAAGCCAGCAGCATCCTCTGCCCTGCAAGCACCCTGCGAGAGATAGGCGAGGGAAGAGGTTGGGAAAAACCTGGCAAGGGGAAAAAAGAAGCCCAAAGAGAGCTTACATGGAGCAGAAAGAAAGGGTAGTGCAGTGTTCAGACAAGAGATAAGATGGCCAATGAGTGGAAAAAGAAAGATATTACCACTTACAGAAGAACAAGCGGGTACATGGAAAATTTATTTACAAACAAATTGCCACCATAGTCAGCTGAATCCTATTTGTGCTAGGTCTCTTGGGCTGAAAAATT